GTTCTCGAATTTCTTGAAAGTCCCTCAGAGAGCAACGATTTTTAGAAAGAAAGAGAATGAGAGTGAGAGAGAGAGAGAGAGGAGGCTAAGAAGATAAAAAAAGAAAAAAATTGTTGAAAACCGGAATTGGACACCTGGTCCTTTTTACACATTGTAAATTTAGGCTCTCGACCCTAAATTATAGGTAAAAATTTTAGTCAGCAGCTCATTGTCTGTCTTTTACACGCATTATACACAAATACATGAGTCGAGAGTTGTCTGGTTGGTTCGTTGGTTGATTATGTTAATGATCCGCGCCCACTTTCAAAACGCGACTGCAACACTGAATAAAAGGCAACGATTTACCATCGTATATATAACAGTTACTCGCGTGACGCAACGCTGCATTAAATTCAACGACGTCTCAATCAGATAGAATAATATGATCATTGCTTCGAATTAAGAAATATTTTATCCGTGGAAATAGAGAAACGAAATAAATTATTGTTTCTCTTTTCATTTGATAATAATAGTAATAATAATAATAATCTGTAGAAAAATGTTTCCGAGTGTTCCCATCGCTGTCACCCGATGTTTTAATCGCGGAAAAGTAAACATATTCCTTTTTTTGTTGAATTCAATTTTTATTTTCTTTATTGTATTTTGTTTCTGTATTTTAATTTTCTTTTTTGTATTTTAATTCTGTACTTTTATTGTCTTTTTTGTATTTTCATTCTGCCATTCACAGTTTTTTTTAAGGATATCAAATTGAGACAAAAAAGGAATCAAAGAGTCGCTTCGCAATACTTGACTCGATTTTTGTCTCAATTTGATACTATTAGGAAAACTGTGTTTGTATATTATATTTTGAATTTAATTTTCAATATTCTGCTTTGAATTTTGGAAATTTTTGTATTATTTCTCATAATAATTAATATCTTGAACAAGAATTTTATTTAAATTTTTGTAAATCCCAATTAAATTCTTTTGAAGAATTATTTCTTTGAATTATTTTAAAAAATGGAGTTTTCTTAAAAATTTTAATTGAAAATTTTGAAAGTAATTGAATTTTATTAAGAATTACTTTCAAATTTTTTGAATAATCGTATTTCTTAATAAATTAAAATTAAACATTTAATTATTCAATTTTATTAAAATTTTTATGGAAAATAATTAAATTCTTGGCATCAGAATTTTAGTAAAATATAGAAAATAATTAAATTCTTTCGAAGCTATTCTTTGAAAGAATTTAATTTACTTCATTTATTACCTATACTATTGAAGGTTTTGAGATTAATTGAATTCTTTCAAAAAATATTTCTTCAATTTATTGAATTCAATCGATTTTGTTAATAATTGTAATTAATAAATTTACTATTAAAATTTTATTAAAATTATTGATAGACAAATGAATTCTTTTGAACAATTATATTAGAGTTTTTGTAAATAATTAAATTCTGTTGAAGAATTTTTCTAATGTCTTCAAAAAATAATGTGCGGTCTTTTTAATAATTTTAATTAAAAATTTTTAAAATAATTGAATTTCTGGGAAGAATTTTATTATTTATAAAAAATAATTAAAATTTTGTGATGAATTTTACTACTTACAAAAATAATTAAATTCTTTTGAAAGATTTATTAAAATTCTAGAAAATAATTGTATTTTCTTCAAAAAGTTTTATTTAAAATAAAAAAAAAAATTGAATGGTTTCATAGGATTTAGTAAAATTTTAGAAAATAATTTAATTTTTTCGAAAACTATTATTAAACATTTTTTTTTAAATTTTAATCTTTCATAAAATTTTATTAAAATTGGATTAAAAATAATTCTTTCTTGAAATTTTTTTGAAAATAATAGAATTTTTTTGCAAAGATTTTGCTATTTATAAAAATAATTGAATTTTTTTGAAGGATTTATTAAAATTTTATTGCAAATAATTGAAATAAAATTTTAGAAAATAATTGAACTTTTTCGAAAACTATTTTTAAACATTTTTTTAAAAATTTTAATCTCTTATGAAATTTTATTAAAATTGGACTAAAAATAATTATTTCTTGAAATTTTTTTGAAAATAATTGAATTTTTTGCGAAGATTTTGCTATTTATAAAAATAATTGAATTGCTTTGAAGGAATTATTAAAATTTTATTGAAAATAATTAAATTTTTGGCAAAGATTTTGCTATTTATAAAAATAATTGAATTGTTTTGAAGGATTTATTAAAATTTTAGAAAATAATTGTATATTCTTTCGAAAAATTCTATTAAAAATTAAAGAAAAATTGAATTTTTTTGGAGGATTTAGTATAGAATTTTATAAAATAAAATTCGATTCTTTGGAAAAAATTTATTAAAAATGAAAGAAAAATTGAATTGTTTCGATGGATTTAGTAAAATTTTATAAAATAATTGGATTTTTTCGAAGGATTTAGTAAAATTTAAAATAAAAAAATTGAAATCCTTCCTAAAAATTTTATTAAAATTAGATTAAAAAATAATTGAATTTTTGCAAAAAATTTTACTACTTATAAAAATAATTGAATTGTTTACAAGGATTTATTAGCATTTTAGAAAATAATTGAATTTTTTGCAAAAGATTTTGCTATTAAAAAAAATAATTGAATTGTTTCAAAGGATTTATTAAAATTGTAGAAAATTAATTGAATTTTTTCGTGAAATTTTATTAAAATTTTGTTTTCAAAATAATTTTATTTTGGCCAAAAATTTTACTATTTAATAATTGAATTCTTCCGTAGAATATTTTCATTTATAAAAATAATTGAATTCTTCCAAAGAATGTTATCATTTATAAAAATAATTGAATTCCTGAAAAAAAAAAATTTTTCGCCAATTAACGCTAATAAAAATGTTTAAAAATTTCTTTTTATTTATTTAAATAAATTTATTTTTAAATTTGAATTTAATTCAAATAAATTTTCTGTTTATTTCGTGATTTTAATATCTTTAAAATTATTCCTGCAAAAAATATCGAAAAAAAATATTCTTTTTTTTAAACCGATTCTTAATTCAAGACTAAAATTTAAGAGGATTTTTTTTCTCAAAACAAGAATAATTTTTTTTCTGTGTATTTTATAATTTTTCAAAATTAGTCCGCAACGATTTTAGTCAAAATATATATTCAATATTTAATATTTAATTTAATATTTTCTAAATTGTAGTAAAAATGTCTCTTGCTATTAATAAATAATCAGAAATTAGTGAATCCCACCGCTGTCGCCTTGTAATAATAATTTTTCCAATCACAGATTTTCGGTAATTGAAAACAATAAAAGTGGAAGTTAATAAAAGCGATTTGGTGGAAAGCTTTGCGAAATGGACTAATGGAGTCCACTCGAGTATGTGGTTTGGGAAAACTCGTTAAGAAATACTTAGATGATTGCGGTTCGTAAAAGAATCAGCTTAATAGACGGTCCATGGGGAGTAGTACAAGAAGCGAGTTTCCGGAGCGCGCTTTCTCTCTTTTCTTTCTCCGCACTATTTACGAGCGATGGCCGACAATGGAGGGTGCGGAGATTTTTGCACTCGGAACTTTAACTGAAAATCATAATTTCAGACTTTTCTTTTTTTTCTTTTTTTTCTAAATATTTATTTATTTATTTATTTATTACAATATAAAACAAATGTAAAACTATCATTTTTTTTCCTTTGAACAAAAATTTAAAAAATTCTAAATAAAACGATAGTTTTATTTAGAATTATTCAGTTAATTAATTTGAGAATTCTTTTTCCTCGAACAAATATTGAAAAATTCGAAAAAAACGATAGTTTTATTTAAAATTATTCAGTTAATTAATTTGAAACTTTTTTTTCTTTCCTCGAACAAATATTAAAAAATTCTAAATAAAACTGTCGTTTTATTTAGAATTTTTCAATATTTCTTCGAGGAAAGAAAAAAAAATCTCAAATTAAGGTTTTCAATTAAAGTTTGAGGGTAAAAATCTCAAAAAAATGGGTAAGAACCAATTTTCCTGGAAAATAAAAATTATCCTAATTACGGAATTTATCGAATTATAATCCTACCGCTAGGGGTTATAATTAAAAAAAAATTCTAATCCCTCTCCTTCTCCTTATGGCCAATACAAAGAAACTGAAAAACGTTAAACTCCAAACCATAAATCCATCAAAAAAAATTTCTTTTCGAAAGTTTTCGATGCGAAAAATGAGTGTAGTGAAACATGTGTTTAATCTAATTGCGATAACCTTAGTCTTAAATTACCTACACGAGACCGGATGAACAGTAGAGAGAAAAAGGGCTGAGGCGTAGGGTGAAGACCGCGAAACTAACCGCCAACAAAAGAGTCTCGTCGAATTGGTTTGGCATATCGATTCGATCGACGAGGTAACATGCGTCTGGCGAGCTGGTTTTCTTGGTCAGTTTTATAGGCAGCAGGATATCCATATCAACCGTTGGTTTCGTTTCTCTTTCATATGTATCTATATATATATATATATTTATAAGAGGGGGCGGCTATAGGGCAACATATAATTATCAGGACGGTAATGGCTCCCATAAATCATAGGCGCTTCTCTCCTTCATTCGGCCTTTTCGTTCCCTAGCAGAATTGCGCGGCACGGCCCATGTTGTAACATACATACACATTTATATGTATATGAAAACCAAAGATGAATACGAATGTTGAAATGCTGCCCAATGATTGGATAGAGTCATCATTCCGGGGCCGGGCAGTTTTGAAAGAGAAAAAAAAATTAAATTCCATCACAATTTTTTTTGAAAGTCATCGAAAAAGATATATATATATATTTTATATTATGTATATTATATATTGTATAATCAGTATTTTCCCATCAGTAACATTTGGTTTTCGGAGAAAAGAATATTTTCTAATAAAGTATTGGATTTGTATAATTATTTAATTATTATCATTATTTAATTTAGTGGAATTACTTTTCTCGACTGTATTAATTTATTTTTTTTTTTTTTTTGAAATCTTTTAGGAAAAATTATTATATCTCTAAATATATATTTTCTTTTTGTTTCAGGTGAGTTTCCCGTATATTACAATTTGGAGGGAGTTTTCTGTTCGATAATTTCAGGTAATGATGATTTTTTCAAAATAGTTGCAAACTAGAACATAAATAAATCTAAAACTATTCTTAAAATGCTCAAAAAATACTTAAAATAATGCTCTATGGGTACACAAAAATACTCAAAATTATACTCTAAAAGTGCTAAAAGTACTAAAAGTACTCAAAATACTAAAAATAATTATCTAAAACTATTCAAAATAATGATCTAAAAATATTCAAATATACTCTAAAAATACTCAAATAATATAATCTAAACAGAACTCAAAAATACTCTAAATGTACTAAAAATAATCAAAATAATGCTCTAAAAGAACTCAAAATACACTTAAAATACTCAAAATAATAATCTAAAAGAACTCGAAAATACTCTAAAAGTACTAAAAAATATTCAAAATAATGCTCTAAAAGTACTCAAAATAATGATCTAAAAATACTCAAAAATACTCTAAAAACACTAAAAATATTTAAAATCTAAATAATGCTCTAAATAATGTGCTTAAAAATACTCTAAAAATATACTCGAAACATACTCAAAAAAATACTCAAAGTAATATTCTAAAAGTAATCAAAAATATTTTTAAAATACTCAAAAATTATTCAAACTAGTGTTTTAAAAGTACTCAAAAATATTCTAAAAATACTCAAATTAATGTTCTAAAAGTACTTAAAAATACTCTAAAAATATATTCTAAAAATATTTAAAAACAATGCTTAAAATGATGCTCTAAAGGTACTCTAAAAATACTCTAAAGATACTCAAAAAATACTCAAAAAGTACTCAAAAAATACTCAAAAATACTCTAAAAGTACTAAAAATACTCAACATAATGCTCTAAATGTACTCAAAAATTCTCTCAAAATATACTCTAAACATACTCAAAAAAACACTCAAAGTATTGTTCAAAAAGTAAAAGTACTCAAAAATACTCTAAAAATACTAAAAAAAAAAATTTTAAATACTGAAATAAGTAATATTGTAAAATTACTTAAAAATACTCTACATATATATTATAAAAATATATTCTAAAAATACTCAAAAAATAATCAAAATAATGCTCTGAAAGTACTCAAAAATACTCTGAAAGTACTAATAATACTCTAAAAGTATACTAACAAATACTCTAAGCATACCCAAAATAATGCTGTAAAAGTACTTAAAAATACTCAAAAGTTACTAAAAATTCTTTAAAAATACTCTAAAAAAAACTTAAATAGTAATCTAAAAATTCTCAAAAAAATATTTAAAAAATACACTTAAAGCTTGCAAAAAAGTTAATTTGGTGCAGTTTTTTATACTAATTTTGTTCTTTATGGTTAAATTAGAATTACTATATTTGAGAGTTTACAATTTTCACTTTCAGTTATACTTTGACTATTGTCAAAGTTTATCTCACCTTCATTTTCACATCTACTTTTATAAAGTTTTATTTTCACTTTCATTTTCATTTTTCCTTTTGGCGGAATTTAATTTTCATTTTTATTTCCTCTTTGAAAGAATTTTAACATTTTCATTTTGTTTTTAATTTTTATAGAATTTCATTATCACTTTCATTTTCACTTTGACAGAATTTTTTATTTATATATATTTTCATATTTACTATTACGTTTATAGAGTTTCATTTTTACATTAATTTTGACATTTTTACTTTAGTAAAATTTCATTTTCACTTGGATTTCTACTTCTACTTTGACAAAATTCGTTTCTAAAATGAAAATGACCATATAAACTTTAATTTTCGCTTTCTATTAATTTTTACATTTTCACTTTCACCAAAAAGTGAAAATAAAAGACAAAATAAAATTGAAAATAAAGTGAAGATCAAAAAAAAATTAAATAAAAAAAGTGCCTCAAAGTAAAAATAAAATTAAAAAAAATCTACCGAACAACAAATAAAAATTGAAAAAAAGTCTATATAAAAATGAAAATCAAATTGAAAAAAATCTGTAATAAAGTGAAAGCGAAATTGAAAAAATTCTATCAAACAAAGAAAAATGAAAAAATCTATAAAAATGAAAATCGAATTGAAAAAATCTCTCATAGTGAAAGTGAAATTCAAAAAAAGTCTATAAAAAATAAAATTTAATTGAAAAAATCTGTCGAAGTTAAAATTAAATTTTAAAAAATATATAAAAATGAAAATCGAATTGAAAAAATCTCTCAAAGTGAAAGCAAAATTGAAAAAAATCTATCAAACAATAAATAATTGAAAAAATCTATAAAAATGAAAATCGAATTGAAAAAATCTGTCAAAATGAAAGTGTAATTGAAAATAGTCTATAAAAATAAAAATTGAATTGAAAAAATCTGTCAAAGTGAAAGAAAAATTGAAAAAAGTCTAACAAAAAAAAAAAAAAATTAAATTGAAAAAAGTCTATAAAAATGAAAATCGAATTGTAAAAAGTGAATAAAAATAAAAATCAAAGAAAAAAATTCTGTCAAAGTGAAAATTAAATTGACAAAGTCTATATAAAAATGAAAATCGGATTCGAAAATCTATAAAGGGGTCGTCCATTAATTACGTAAGACATTTAGGGGGAGGGGGGTTTAGCTATAGTTCTAACGAACAGTAGAAAAAATGGCGCTAATGTATGTAAAATATTTTACAACGGGGGGGGGGGGTCAAATTTTCCAAAAAAATGTCTTACATAATTTATGTACGGTCCCCAAAGTGAAAATGAAATTGATACACTGTAAAAAATTTAGGGAGTTAACGGACTCGGGAGTTGGGAGTGAAATTTTTCGAGTTAAAAATCAACTCCAAAAGAGAGTTAATTTCTAACTCCCTTCATTCAACACCCTCGCGAGTTATTTTTTCCTTGGGGAGTTAGCATTTGGGTGTGAAATTTTAACTCTCTTTATTTAACTCCCCTGGCATTAACTCCTCAATGGGTGCGACTTTTATAGACCCCCCAGGGGAGTTAAAATTTAACTCCCTTTTTTTACAGTGTAAAAGTCTATCAAAGGGAAAATATAATTGAAAAAGTATCAAGTAAAGACTGAATTTTCCCCCTCGATTTTCATTCGCCGATAAAAGTCCGAAAAAAATTCAACTTTTTAAGCAGATAATTTTTTTTCCCTCCAAATACACGTGTCAAGCGCGTACACATAGAATTAAGATTAATTCATTTCGAATATATAACAATTTAATTTGATCGCAACCAATTTCCTTGTCAGTTTCGAAATTGTATAAAGCGCGCGCGTATAGATATCAATCGAATTAAAAGCAGTAGGATTCGGACTATTATCCCTTGATTTCGCCATGCTCAGTGATTATTCACGCTGCGAGTAACGCAAACAATGCGACTGGACTCTATCCAGGAGAGTTGAATTAATTTGGCTGCGAAACAAAAATGCGAAAATTCTCCAAAGCACAAAAGGTGCGCTTATTCGTATTGAAATGAAATTCTCTCTGCGCTTTTATTTTTTCTTCTCTTCTTCATTTCTTCACATATACACGAAATTCGCCTTAAAACAATTTCATCTCTTTTTTTATTTTCACAAGTGTACATATTTCGAAAAACAAAAAAAAGTACTTTTTTGGAAGTAAAAGGAATACATTTTCTTAACTTTAGAGAAAAACAATTTTCCTAAGTGAAAATTTTTCTCTTCTTTCTTTTCTTTACATTTTCCTAATGCATATACTTGAAAGCTGAAAATACGCAGAGGAAGAAACTTACATTTTCTTTTTTATTTTCTCATATCCCCAAAAAGCTTGGGAAAATTTGAAATTTTTCACCGTGGAAAAATTTCAAATTTCCACTAGCTTTTTGGGGGAGAAAATAAAAATGTATTTTTCTTCACTCGAAAGATGATATTTTTGTCGAGTCCAGTTTTGTTTTTGAGGAGAGTATACGTATATATGTGCGCGGGCAAAATGGGCGCAAGAGAATTATGACGCGAAACTACACTCGAATGAAAACGTAAAAGGGACTCTCTCCTGAGTTTTCGTAGACTCCCGCACACGCGTTTTTCTTTTCTCCCTTTTCTTCTCTGTTTTTCTTTTTTTTTTTTGCGGGGGATTCGCCCCGTAATGGAGAGGGGGAGAATGACGGAAGATTGGTGGTGGTTGGAAAGGAGGGAGGGGGGAATCAGAAAACGAGGGGTTGGGTTCGGGGTGCGCTGACAGCTCGACGCTCTCGTCCATTTCAAAACTCGACGGGAGGATACGCTTCTCTGCACACATTCACAAATACAGTGAAACGAAATTCATACGCACTTACACATATAAACTTATATTCTACTCATACTTTCACATATACATATATTACGTGCAAATACACATATAAGTATTTTCACATATAAATGCACATGTACATGTTTTCACATATAAGTGCACATGTACGTACACATGCGCATATAAGTACACATGTACGCATATTCACATATAAGTACGCACATGTACGTATATTCACTTATAAGTACACATATACATAATATTGACATATAAAATCACATATACACTCATAAATACGATTATTCACATATACACATATGAATACGCATATACACATATAAAGACGTATTTTCACATATAAAGACCTATATTCACATATATAGATATAAATATGTATATTCACATATAAAAGCACATAAACACATATAAATGCACATATACACATATAAATACGTATATTCACATATAAAAGCACATATACACATATAAATACGTATATTCACATATAGATTCACATACACACATGTGTGCACATATACACATATCTATGCGCATATACATAAAAATTCACATATAAGTTCACATATACATTTATTCACAGCTGTATTGTGTGACAGCGTGTTGTCCGTCCCTCTTTTTCTTCCACCGTAACGTCACACGCGAGCACACATCGAATGGCTTCTCACTCCATTTTGCCTCTTTTTTTCTATCCCCCTCTCACTCGTTCCTTTTTTCTTCTCTCTCTCTCTCTCTCTCTCTCTCTCTCTCTCTCTCTCTCTCTCTTTCTCTCACTCACGCTGGCTATACGTCTCTCTATTCCGTGGTGCGTTG